ATAAATCAGGATTTTTTAAGGCAGTAAGAAGTGTTTTGTTGGGGAAATCTAGATATAAGAAGCTTGCAAAGGAGGCAAGGAATGGGAGAAAGACTCAGTCATGGAGAGTCTTGGATATCATACTAATTTGTTTCCAAGGGGAAAAAAAAGGTTCTCCACAAAGGGTTTTAAATAAGGGAGTGAAAGAATCTATTGGTGTTTTAGAAAGATCTCTTTAGTGGCTATATAATGATGGATTTGAGGAGGACACAATAGTACAGTTGAGGAGGTTGGTGAGGAGACTCTTGCACAGCTCAGTGGAAAAGATGAAGACCTGGCAAAAGCTAATGGAATGCAAGGGTGCCTGGTGTTTGAGAGACACTGCTGAGAACAAAGACAAGCAACTTGTAAGAACCTCAGATAAAGGAGAGAAAGGAATGTAAGACTGGGGTTTCTAGCTTGGGAGTTCAGCTTCTTGAGCAGGTGCTGCCTCCCCTTTGTGGAATCTGGGAAACTGAACCCAAGGCAAAGTGGGGAGAGGGAGGAAGGAAGGTAGGTACCTTAGAAGTTCTACTGAGAGTCTAGGGCTCAGCCCTCCAGTCAAACACCAATGATACTGATACCTGGGTCTTACATTCAGAGATTCTAATTAAACTTGTCTGTGATTGTGGCCTGGAAAGATCCCAGGCACTGGGATTTTTAAAAGCTCTCAGGTAATTTTAATGTGCAGCCAAGGATGTGAACCTACAACTTGGACAGTTCCTTTCCAACTAAGGAAGTCAGAAAAGGACGCAGCTGTTGCTGGGAACTGCTTATGGTCCAGCCAATCAGACAGGGCCCTATTGAAAAAAAAGGTGCTGAGGAGTTGATGGGTGCAGCACACCAACATGGCACAAGTATACATATGTAACAAACCTGCACGTTGTGCACATATACCCTAGAACTTAAAGTATAATAAAAAAAAAAAAATGAGGCTTTGTCTTGAGCATTGGAGTCTGACAGACCCATTCTAGAGACTGTTTCACTAATCTTTACTACAGGAAATGATATTTGAGATGGGAGAGGATTATTTGATGTTGTTCACATGGGGTCAGTGGACCAGCTAGAGCTTATCTATGAGTATGAAGAATTCCTAATTACTCTGGCTTAGTGATTATGAAAGTGTGGTGTTCAGTCCAGCAGTATCAACTTTATCTGGGAACGTGTTACACATTTAGGTTTTGGGCCCTATCCAGGTCTACTGAATCAGAAACTCTGGGGGAAAAAGCCCCAAAATTTGTGTGTATGTGTTTTTTAAGAAATTAATTAAACTTTAAAAAATTTTTCAAATACTTATAGATTCATAGGCAGTTGCAAAAAAAAAAAAAAAAATACAGAATGATTCCATTACCCTTTGCCCAATTTAGACATTCTACAAAACTATAGTACAATATCACAGCCCAGGTGTTGACACTGATACAACCAAATAAAAAATATAGACTTTCCATCACCACAGAGATCTCTCATTTTGCCCTTTTCTAGCTACACCCACTTAACTTCACCCACCTCTTCATGCTGGCAACCACTGACCTGTTCTCCATTCTATAATTGTCGTCACTTCAAGAATGTTATACAAATGAAATCATATAGTATATAACTCTTGGGGACTGGCTCTTATTTTTACTCAGCATAATTCTCTGTGGAGTCATTCAGGTTATTGTGTGTATCAATAGTTTGTTCCTCTGCATTGCTGAGTAGTTTTCCATGGTACGGATGTGCCATAGTTTAACCATTCTCCTGTTGCAAAGTCACTTTAACAACCTCTCGGCCGGGCGCGGTGGCTCAAGCCTGTAATCCCAGCACTTTGGGAGGCCGAGGCGGGTGGATCACGAGGTCAGGAGATCAAGACCAAAACCCGTCTCTACATAAAAATACAAAAACTAGCCGGGCGTGGTGGGCGGCCGCTGTATCCCAGCATACTCCGGAGCTGAGGCGGAAGGAATGGCGTGACACCACGGCGAGGCGCTTGCAGTGAGCCAGATCTCGCCACATGCACTCCAAGCCTGCGGCGACACAGCGGGCAGCACCGTCTCAAAAAAAAAAAAAAAAAAAAAAAAAACAACCTCTCAAAGTAATTCTGATGCACTCTCAGGCTTGAGAACCCCTGATCTCTAGGAAAAAAAAAAGCTTTAAAGGACAGGAAATAAACACAGCACTTTTCTGGGTTTTCTTCCCACACACTAACTTCATGGTCCTCCTCAAAGGCATAGGTAAATGACTTTTTAACATTTCCACATGGCCAGGAGCGGTGGCTCACGCCTGTACTCGCAGCACTTTGGGAGGCCGAGGTGGGTGGATCACCTGAGGTCAGGAGTTAGAGACCAGCCTGACCAACATGGTGAAACTCCATCTCTGTCAGATACAAAAATTAGCCGGGTGTGGTGGTATATGCCTGAAATCCCAGTTACTCGGGAGGCTGAGGCAGGAGAATTGCTTGAACCTGGGAAGTGGAGGTTGTGAGCCGAGATCATGCCATTGCACTCCAGCCTGAGTGACAGAGCAAGACACTGTCTCAAAAAAAAAAAATTCCACCACTACTGTTAACACAATATTCTGTATCCTGCTTATCGCTGTTAAGTAAATGCATTTCTTAAAAGATTCGTGTATTTATATTCAACAAATATTTATGGACGTACCTCCCAGTAACTATTCCAGGCAGGAAGAAAGCAGCAGTAGAAAAGATACATAGGTCACTTCTCACAAGTAGCTTTTGCTTCAGCAGGACCAGAAAAGACAATAAGCATATAAAGTCTTGTGAAACAAAGTCAGGTTGAAACAGATGTCATGATTGAAAATAAAGTGACGTAAGGGTTAAAAGATGAAGGAACTGAGGTCCCATTGTTAGTGACAGTCAGAGAAGTCCTCTCTGAGGAGATTGCATGAGAGCAGAGTTAACTAAAATAAGGAATTAAGGCACGTGAATATATGGGCCGCTGCAGCAGACGGAGCAGCAAATTTAAGTCTTGCAACAAGAACATGCTTAACCTATTATATGGTTTGGATATTTGTCCCCTCCAAATCTCATGTTAAAAGATGACTCCCAATGTTGGAGGTGAGGCCTAGTGTGAGGTGTTTGGGTCATGGGTGGATCCCTAATGGATGGCTTGGTGCCCTCCCATGGTAATGAGTTACCAGGATATCTGATTGTTCAAAATAATCTGGGACCTCCTCCCTTCTCTCTCTTGCTCCTGCTCTCATCATGTTACACACTTGCTCCTTCTTTGCCTTCTGTCATGATTGGAAGCTTCCTGAGGCCTCACCAGAAGCACACGCCAGCACTATGCTTCCTGTATAGTCTGCAGAAGTGTGAGTTGAATAAACCTCTGACTCAGGTCAGTTCATGCTTTTGCACAGGCTTCCAGACTGTGGAGGAAGGGACTCTAGCCCACAGCCCTAGATTTGGTATATTAGGCTTCCTTAAGTGAAGTCCTGCTCATGAAACCTATAACAGAAGCCTTTGCTCCTTCCCTTGAAGGAGTGCTAACAAGCCATAATGAGTTTATAATCCTGAATAGTAGAAATAAAACACCTTATTACAATGAGATGAAATTCACGTTAGCTGCTCTGGCCCCAAACATAGAATATTAAGAAAATAAAGATGCTCTTGGTACTTAAGGGTGTGATTTTAATAGAAAAGGTAAGGTTCTCTGAAGTTACTCTGAAATGTATAGCACTTAGAACTTTGATTGTCTACATAACTTATAAAAATTATTAAACAATAACATCATAACCATGCAAAAACAAAAGACCCCTGTACAAATTTTGGGTAGAATGGTGGGGGTTGGGAGTACAGTGGGGAGTAGAGGAGAGATGAAACAATTTAAACCCAGGCACTCTTACCTACAGTCTGAATGTTTTACTCACTAAAAGATCCTTGGATAACTTAACTTAAAACCATCAACAACTTCCGATATTCAACCTTAGCTATCAACTTGTCCCATGAAAACAGGCCAGAAACCTGCCTCAGTCCCTTATGATTTCATCAGCTCAGGTTGGCATGGCACATGTCTCCTATCTAAAGCCTGGGTGAAGATAAAAGGAGAAAACTAAAATGAAGAACATGTTTAGATTCTGTAAACCAGAGTTAGGGGCTACTTTTTACAAATATCAATCCTACTGGTTCCCTGTTACTTGCCAAAATGAATCACGAACTCATTTGTGGACCCAATCATTTATCCATGTTCACTCTCCCAGACTTTGGGGGGCTTTCCTCAGATCTGGAAACTATTTTTGACAGCTGAGATTTTGTTCTAGACATGGAGTTTAAACCTGAGTTTGAGTTTAGCTTTAGTGTTTAAAGGGTTAAGGATGGGGCAGCCCAGGGTTAAGGGTTAAGGATGGGGCAGCAAAGGTAACATTCTACACTGAGTCTAGCCATGGGGAAAGGACTTTGTCAGTGTCTTCCTCAACAGGTTTTGCCATTGAAAGAAACATGAGACACTAAAGCTAAACTCAAACTCAAGTCTAAACTCCAAGTCTAGAACAAAATCCCAGCTGTCAAAGAGAGTCTCTAGATCTGAGGGAAGCCCTCCAAAGTCTGTCTGGCAGAATGAACATGGATAAATGACTGGATCCACAAATGACTTTGCCATTCATTTTGGCAGTACCAGGAAACACACAGCCACAAATGAGATTAATATAATGAATGGGAGAGAAATGCTTAAAAAGATGTAAAAAGAAGGAAGTGGTAATATTGATATTGCTACATATTGAACATCTGAACAATGTTTAGACATCAATTTCCGAAAACAAAGACAATGGCTATGAGCAGATACACTCAAAATGAAGAAATATTTTTTTTTATTTTTTAAGAAAAGGTTAATCACATATTCACAGAGTCAGTTTGTTACTATGGAATCACATATGATGTCATAAATTTGACATTCTAAATGCAAAGCTAGACTGAGCAAGGGAAGTGACAGGAAATGGAGCTGGGGAGACAAAAATCTGGATAACAACAAAAGAATTTCAACAGTTAAAAAATGAGTCAAACATCTCTCAAACAGAAAAAGGTGAGTGAATCGAGTGTCTTAGAATCTTGCCATGGGGCTGAAGAAATGTGGACATCAGTCCATCATTTGCCTCTGCAAAGGCTCTGCAACAACCAAATAATTTCAGATAATGGCTTCATGTAGAGGAAAAGAGAAGGAAGAGAATAAAGGCAATGGAAAGAGCAGAGAAATGGGAAGAAGGAGAAATTTTTAAAAAACGAAGACAGAAAAGAAAAAGATTAAAACATGTAGTATACAAATCATTCCAATAAGTCAGTATTCATTTAGCATATACTCATATGTTAGTAGTAAAAGGTAAAAACAGTGGCTGTCTTTGAAGAAGGCATGGCCTAGTAGGAGACAGAACAGACAAAGGACAGCTCATTGCTCTGTAAAAGTATATACAAAAGACACAAGCAACACAGGGCGATATTTCACTCTGGGCACTTCCCCCAGGTCACACGGAGCTGGGTTTTGAAGAACATAAGAGAGAAGAGGAGACCATAAGGAACTAAGGGTGGTGTATGCAGGCAAATACAAGTCACTTGGTATTAGTAGAACACAGTGATAAAGTGTAGAGTGAAGGGCATGCAAGTAGTAGGTACACAGGAATACATCATGAGGCTCCTGGTCGAACCAAGTGAAAAAAGCGTTTATCCAGGAATGAAGCATTACTAGATTTACATCTCGTAAATATTACTCTAAATAAATACGGTGGACAGATCTAGAAGTGGAGAGGATTTAAGGCCATGAAACCTGCTCGAAAGGCTATATTCTAAAAACATAGTCCCAAGATGGTCAGAGGCCTGGAACAACGCAATGATAATTGAGATAGAAAAAAGGAACTGGATTTAAAATATCATTTGGAATTAGAAGTAAGAGGATATTATGGTGACTGCTATGTATGTGTATAAGGAGGGTGAGGGTTGATGAAAAGATTATAAATTAGTTCAGGAGCCGTACAGCTATGCCATTCTCTCATGCAACTAACATTCTCATGCAACTGACATTGATGAGATTTTTCCTGCTGCAAAACATAGAGCTTAAATGGATGACTATAGAGTGCTCTAGCGGATCTTGGTCTAACCTAGAAGTTGTGCTCCTTAAACAGATAAATAACACTAATCTTGATCACATTGCGGCCACTTACTTATCATAAAACAGTTTAAATAATACTCCAGTAAGTATCTCCTCCAAATGAAAATGAAAACATAAATATTTGAGTAGAGTTCCACAAAGTGAGTTATCTTCTTGTGCTCTGTTACTTGGTTTTCCCTATCTGTTGTTAATTTGTTGGTAAGAAATCCCTTTCCACTCTACATCTATGAGTAATTACATGATAGGAACAGAAGACATGACTTTCAATAAATTTGTATGAGATTAAGGTCCTTATATTTAGAAATCAAACTAATATTGGTGAGGCTAGATCCACAGAAAATTTGAGCTATAGTGATGATGAAAATGAGAAAAAATTGAATTCTAAATGGTAAGGAAAAATAAGTTTCATAAGTAGCAATCTTCAGAGTAACAGAGAAAAATAAAACTTATTCTACATAAACAACTTCACAATTCTCTAATATTTCCCATGTTATCAGTCTTTAAACAATAAACGCTTTATATCTCAAATCTATGAACCAACAAATTTCTATATTAAATTTTGTTTATATAATTCTTTTTAATAAAATATGTGTTATCTTTTACTCATTCTTGTTAGAACGGGGGAAACTAAGGTCTAGAGTTTATATCTTTTTATATAAGCAAATAAATAAATTCCATGTTTTCTTTATCCTTGTATTCTTAAAGTCAAGGTTCCTAACGCTCTGAGATTAAAAATTAATAAACATTCTTTGTTTCCACGTCAAGAATGAGCCCGGAATGAGGTCCTCAAAAGAGAGTCTAGAAGCAGAAAAAAGAAAGGAATCTGACAAACAAGGAGTTCGTCTGAGCAATCAGGTGAGCCGATCTCTGTAGCAGAGGTGAGGAAATTAAGGAGCAGAGAGCATAAAGGAAAATGTTAGGGGGCAGGGAGTTCTGGGAGAGAAGACCAAGCTGTTGAGAATTGTATTAAGGCATCCCTAATGTCCTCATGAGGAAGTTAAGGAACTAGGAGAGGTTGGGCCCTGCCTTCCCCTCCATCCATACCCGAGTGTTCACTTAGAATGTGTGGAACCACAGCAGGCTCCTCTGCTCAGCCTACACAGGGAGGAGACTGATCTTTGTTCAAATCAGGGAGGGGAGGAGGTCTGGCCATCGCATTGACCACTTTCTGCACAATCTTTCAGATGAGGCGTGCAGTCAATCCGAATCACTCGCTGAGATGTTGCCCCTTCCGGGGTCACTCGTCGTGTAGACGCTGCCTTTGTGCAGCTGAGGGAACAGCCCTTGGCCCCTGCCGCACAATACGTATTTATATTCACATGTGCCTGTTGTGGGAGCAGGGCCAGCAGATCACCATGATGAGGGTGAGCAGAGATCGCACTACTGATTCTGGAGGGGAACCACAGACAATCTGGGTGAGGGGAAGAATGTGGCAAATAGAAACTCTTTTACTTTGCTGCTTCCTGGTCTCCTTCATTCTTGTTTCTCCTAAAAGGAAAGCTTGAGGGCTCCATTCCTTTTAAGCAGCTGCTTTAGAGTCCCCCTGCAACCTCAGTGGGGCACCAGCTGCCCTCACCTTTAGAGTCTGGTAAAAAACGGTGGATATATCATTTCAGCATCAGTTAACAGGCTTATCCTCGAGGGAAGAAGTGAGGAAAAGGGAGGAACAATGGTGAACCATACTAAGTTCCATATACGAGGAGTCACAGTGAAAAAATATGTTTGCATCTTGGTTTTGGATGCTCTTTCAAATGGACCCCCACATAGATGCTCCAAACAGAAGTGAGGACTTGACCAGAGTTAGAACAGTACACAAGAGTTCAGGTTAAGAGTCAATGAGGCCAGGGATCTTCTCACTGGGTGCTGCTATATTCAGCCTGACATGACTATTCTGCAGGCACCTGTATAGAAGGAGTGGGTGACAGGGTTTTACGCCCTTGGGTTTCTTCTTTCCATCACAGGGATCACAAGAATCATCACTGCGCAAGACAGACTCTCGAGGGTACCTTGTGCGCAGTCAATGGTCTAGAACATCCCGCAGCCCATCCACCAAGGCTCCATCCATAGATGAGCCTAGAAGCAGGAACACCAGTGCTAAGGTAGAGGTAAAGATGAAAGGGAGGAGTAGATGATAGAATAATAACAATGGTTAACATTTATTGACGCTTTCTATGTGCAAGGCCCTGTTTATGTGCTTTACATGTGTTAGCTAATTTAGCCCTCAGGAGAACTCCCTTCCGCCCATAAATCCCATTTTACCGCTGAGAAAACTGAAGTATAGAGGGAACTTGTTTAAGGTTTCACATTAATAAGTTGTAGAGCTAGCATGAAAACCCAGGGGCTCTAGATCTAGAGGCTGCACACTTCCTCCTTCCTTCCTTAATTCGACAAATAGTTATTAACTGTGATTCTCAGAAGAGAGAAGGAAATGGTCACCACAAGAGAAAAAGAGTGTCAGATTGTGTGGGGCTTTGAGTCTTTAATTAGGACTGACCACATAAGCAATTAAACAAAAAAAAAAGTTAGTTTTGAGATTAAGATTTTGGAAGCAGAGCGAATGATCCAGACCCAGCCACTGGGAGAGCATGCATTCCTACCCAATTCATCATCTCTATCGCATTTGACTCAATCATCTAAACAAAAACATCCTTTTTTGAGTCATGTGTGAAACAATCTGAAATCATACATGGATGCCTAATAACTTCTTGCTCACCTTAGTAAAGGAGATTTTTCTCTAGAATAGTCCTCTCCTGTTTAGGAAAATGATTCAATATAACTGTGGTCCCCTGGCACAAGGAGCTCTGAAGGCCCTGGGGAGATGCTCCAGTCTCCCGACAAGCGACTTTCCCAGCCATCACTCTAACATTCACATGGGGAGCGGGGAGAGACATGCCCCAAGGAGATATGTAGAGTGTTCTGGTGAGAATGTCTGGCCCACTTTGCTCACGGAGTTAACTGGAGGTCACACACAAAGGCACTGGCCAAGCAAGATCCATTCTGCACGCCCTCTGTCCTACCTGCAGGCCTCTGACTGAGTAGGTATATGCCAAGCAGGGGACAGAACTTTGCAAACCCTGTGTCAGCTGCCTAAGGGGGAGGAGGAGGACTGGGTCCTATCTACTCCAAACAAATAAAAATGTGCGAAATGCTTATGGGGAAGCTAGGGGAGAGAGAATGAAAGCAGACAGTCTCTGTGTCTGTTTAACAGAAATATCAAACGGCTGAAGCCTAGAAATATCCGGTTCCCTTAAGCCCTACTTAAGGAGCTGAAATGAACCAGCACCCATCCAAGGTCTAGGAATGGAACGGGCAGAAAGGACAGATCCTTGACGGGAGCTGGGCAGAGCTGGCCACAGGGACCCTGGGCAGGCCTCGACTTCAGACGCCCATTGTCTTGCTGCAGCTCCCCAGCAGCTCCACGAGCTCCCGGACTCCATCCACCTCCCCAAGCCTTCAGGACTCCTCACCGCCGGCACTGTCCGGGCAGCCCTCGCTCCAGCCGCCCGCGTCGCCCCGGCCACCCCGGTCGCAGGACTCACGGCCTCCCACGCCCCCAGAGCCCGATCCTGGCTCCCGGCGCAACACCAAAATGCAAGACAATCCGGAGGCCTGGGCCCAGGGCATCGTGCGGGAAATCCGCCAGAGCCGGGACTCGCAGTCGCGGGAATATTCGCGCACATCCCCCACTGAATGGAAGTCCTCCAGCCAACGCAGGGGGATCTACCCCGCCCCCAACCAACTGGACCGCGACTGTCTACCTGAGCAGCAGCAGCAGCAGCGGGAGGATGAGGACGACTACGAGGCTGCCTACTGGGCATCCATGAGGTCGTTCTATGAGAAGAACCCGAGCTCCTCGCGTCCCAGGCCGGTGAGCGAGCCCGCCACCCCTGGCACGTGGGGCGCCCCTCCTTGCAGCGGGCAGCAGAGCCTCTTCCAGCCGACCTCCTCTCCACTGCGCAGGGAGGTCCTCCCCAGTCTCCCGCTTCTCCTCCCCAAACCTCAGGGAGTCCCAGCCTCAGCTGTTTCCAGCATCCCACTTCTCCAAGCAGGGACCCGTGGTCCTATTCTCACCCTCCCGTGGAGGAGCCCCAACCCTGTCCCCTTCCTGGCTATGTGACTGTCCTCCCGTTGCCGTCCCTCTCTGCAGCCCAAACCCAAGAACGCCATCACCATTGCTCTCTCATCCTGCGCGCTCTTCAACATGGTGGACGGCAGGAAAATCTACGAGGAAGAGGGTCTGGAAAAGTACATGGAGTATCAGCTCACCAATGAGAATGTCATCCTGACCCCAGGTCCGGCGTTCCGCTTCGTCAAGGTACTCTGCAAGCTGTCTTTGGTCCGCCAGGACCCTCGATGGCGAGGGAAGGACCCAGGCCAACCCTTGGGAGGGCATTCAATTTCCCAGATCATTCCTAGCCCACCATTGTCATTCTTGTCTCCTTCTAGCTGACCCAGGTCAGTTTATGATTTCGCACAGGCTTCCAGACTGTGGAGGAACTCCAGCCCACAGCCCTAGATTTGGTATGTTAGCCTTCCCTAAGTGAAGTCCTAATCATGAGACCTGTAACAGAAGCCTCTCTCCCTCGAAGGAGTGCTAAGAAGCCATAATGAATTTATAATCCTGAGTAGTAGAAATAAAACGCCATATTACAGTGAAATGAAATTCACGTTAGCTCTTCTGGCCCCAAACATAGCATATTAAGAAAATAAAGATGCTGTTGGCACTTAGGGGTGTGATTTTAATAGAAAAGGTAAGGTTCTCTGAACTTACACTGAAATGTATACCACTTACAACTTTGATCTGCTTATATAAATATTACACAATAACATTATAACCATACAAAAACAAATGACACCTCTACAAGTTGTTGGTAGAATGTACTTATGAGTCATAGTAAAAGCATGGGCAGGAGCTACAAACCTAAAGATACATGTTAATACACAAAGTACTCTGTTTGACAGCATATATACTAAAATTGGAACGAAACAGAGACAATTTGCATGACCTGTGGGCAAGGATGACATGCAGATTCATGAAGCAGTCCATATTTTTCAAAATTAAAAAACAATCATTAGATGATCAATAAAAGCAGATTTTAAAAATCAATCAAACATAGACAAAGCATAAAAGGGTTAGCCTGACCCTACTCTCTTCCTGTCCCCCAGAGATAATTCTAGTGAACCCAAAGTTGAAACAATTCTCAACAAACATTACTGATGTATTCTGAACGTTAACTGAGTTCCTATGAATGAGAGGTTGATAATGCAGAAATGCATGGGATAAATCTTCCTTAAAGGAGCCAGAATCTCTCAGAGAAGATTCTTCAGAGCTTGAATTTGACTCTGATGAGATGCTTCCTCTGTGGCCTCCCCAAAACCACCTTGCCTGCCCCTCTTTACACACATTCATGTTTGTAACCTGCAGGCACTACAGTATGTCAATGCTAGACTCCGTGATCTATATCCTGATGAACAGGACTTATTTGATATTGTACTGATGACTAATAACCATGCCCAAGTGGGAGTGCGGCTTATAAACAGCGTCAATCACTATGGTAAGTAAAATAAATACCATGTGGAAGAACAGCTCTCTGCTCTGAAAGAGAGAAGCCATGTTATTTTGCTAACTGTGGCTTAACCAAACGCAGCGTCTTTGATACTGACACCCCCTTCTGCGCCAGGAATGTTTATTTGCCTATGTCAGAACAAGAGAGGCCATGTTCATTTTTAACTTCAGCACAGAGTTGGGCTCAAAGCTCTGGACTTAACTTGTCAAGTGTGAATTTCAAAGTCTTAATCCTAGGTCCTGCAATATATTTCTCTGTTTTATGTTTTTCACTTCTGAACTTGACTTCAAGGAGCCGTCAACCCAAAGGTTTTTACTGTGTGATCAAACTTCTTGCTCACCACAGATTCGTGTTAAAGGTTTAAAGGTTTTCACCTCTCCTTTCCACTCTTAAAATCTGATTGTCCCCGGCTGCTTTCTCTCCCCACACATAAAATAATTTACATGGAAAATTTGATTGATTCTAGTCTCTTCAGTGTTTCTATCAGTGTGTTGGGGACTTTAAGAGAAAGTTCCAACTTTTCCTATTATGGAACTACCTGAATTATTTCAGGCACAATTGGCCTATTTTCTAAATGGGTGTGTGAAGTTAAAATAACGTTTAAATTGGGCATATTTACAAATAATCGAGATATAAGTTATGAGTTTTACTTTATATTATTCTAACTATAAGGCTGGAATCATTGAAGTACATTTAAAAATATTTTTGCCTTTTAAAAGTGTAGTCTTCGTAGTGTTATGAAGTAAAAAGAGAGAACATAAAAATTTAACATAAATGAGTGCCATATAACAATCACCTAGTAAACAACAGCTAGTATTTAACATTGATTTAGTAGGTGATTAAGGTCTATCTATCCCTCACCACGCTGACCTATCAAGGCTGGAAGCATAAGAAATCAGTTATTTACCTGTTAATTCTGCTGATGAACTGATTGTGTACAACCTTCTCATGCAGCCTTGTTCATGGAATAAAAATCTTTTGACCCAGAAGAGTTAGTTACTTCCTTCTCTGGGTACTGAAAGCAATTTGTATCTCTGTCTGCCGGGGTCTTTATTATAACAAATGTTTTACATGCCAGGCTCCTCAGTGAACTGTGATCTCCTTAAGAAGAGGGACGATGCTTTAATCATTTCTGGAGTCTCGGTGTCACCAAATAATTTCTGGGTGATGAAATTCACATGATTTAGGGATTTGCAGAGCACACTTTTGTGCCACATATGCCCAATATTGACATAAGTGAAAAAATGAGAGCATTTTCTAATACCAAAGCAGATACTTCCACCAAGACAGTTAATGGACCTGACCGACTCTCCTGGTCCATACAAATGATAAACAACTAACTAGACAGTATTCTGCTTTATATCATGTGTAGCTACCCAGTTTATCATATATCTAAAAAAAATCCTTTGAATTGGTACATATTCTATCATTTGGATAATCCTATACTTTATATAACTACTGTCACATTGTTGAACGTTTTGCTTTTATAAATAACCCTAAACTGAGACCTTTCTATAGAAATCTTTATCAGAATTTCAGAATATTCCTTTTTAAAAAACTAAGGAATCTTAGGTCAAAAGGTACAAAGCTGTTAAAAGCTCTTAATACATATTGCGTATCATCAAATCACTTTCTAGACAGCTTGTACCAATGTATACTTTTACCCATAGTATATGAAGGTGCCTATTTTACAAACCCCTTTCAGACAGCCAGTGTTATTTTGTAACAGTTACTGATTTACAAAAGCATTTGATGTATATTAATGTTTAATGATGACAATTCACTGTTATATGACTAAATTGCATGTCATGAGGGTTTAGTGTAGAGATTACTTCATTACCTAGGTAATAAGCATATTACCCAATAGGTAATTTTTCAATCCTCATCTGCCTCCCACCTTCCACCCTCAAGTAGGCCCTGATGTCTATTGCTCCCTTCTTTGTGTCCATGTGTACTCAATGTTTAGCTCCCACTTATAAGTGAGAACATGTGGTATTTGGTTTTCTGTTGCTGCATTAATTCACCTAGGATAACAGCCTCCAGCTCCATCCATGTTGCTGCAAAAAAGATGATCTCATTCTCTGCTATGGTTGTGTTCCACGGTATATATGCACTACATTTTGTTTATCCAGTCCATCATCAATGGGCATTTAGGTTGATTACATGTCTTTGCTATTGTCAATGGTCCTGCAATGAACATTTGTGTGCATATATTCTGGTTTTTTGTTGTTGTTGGTTGTTTGTTTGTTTGTTTGGTTTTTTTTTTTTTGAGACAGAATTTTGCTCTTGTTGCCCAGGCTGGAGTGCAATGGCACTATCTCAGCTCACCACAACCTCTGCCTCCCGGGTTCAAGTGATTCTCCTGTCTCAGCCTCCCGAGTAGCTGGGATTACAGGCATGTGCCACCACGCCCGGCTAATTTTGTATTTTTTTAGTAGAGGTGGGGTTTCTCCATGTTGATCAGACCAGTCTCAAACTCCTGACCCCAGATGATCTGCCCACCTCAGCCTCCCAAACTGCTGGGAGTACAGGCGTGAGCCACCATGCCCTGCCATATATATATTCTTATGGTAGAACAATTTATATTCCTTTGGGCATATACCCAGCAATGGGATTGCTGGGCCAAATGGTAATTCTGTTTAAAATTCACTGAGAAATCTGCAACCTGCTTTCCATACCAGCTGAACTATTTTACAACACCAAAAGCAGCACGTAAGTGTTCCTTTTTAACCACAACCTCATCAGCAGGTCAGTTTTTGATTTTTAACAGTAGCCATTCTGATTGATATGAGATGATAATCTCATTGTAGTTTTGATTTGATTTTCTCTAATGATTAGTGAGGTTGAGCATTTTTTTCATATGCTTGTTGGCTGCATGTATGTCTTCTGAGAAGTGTCTATTCATGTCCTTTGCCCATTTTTTAATGAGGTTGTTTCTGCTTGTTAATCTGTTTAAATACCTCACAAATTCTGGATTTTAGACCTTTGTTAAATGCATAATTTGAAAATATTTTCTTCCATTTTATAGGCTGTCTGTTTACTCTGGTGATTGTTTCTTTTGCTATGCAGAAGCTCTTTAATTAGCTCCCATGTGTCAATTTTTTTCTTGTTGTTGCAATTGCTTTTGGTGTCTTCATCATGAAATCTTTGCCAGAGCCTGTCCAGATTGGTATTTCCTAGGTTTTCCTCGAGGGCTTGGGACATGCCCCAAGGAGATATGTAGAGTGTTCTGGTGAGAATGTCTGGCCCACTTTGCTCACGGAGTTAACTGGAGGTCACACACAAAGGCACTGGCCAAGCAAGAATCCATTCTGCACGCCTCTGGTACCTACCTGCAGCCTCCTGATGAGTTAGGTATATGCCAGACAGGGGACGAACTTTGCAAAACCATGGGTGCCGGGTGAACGGGGGGCCGGAGGAGGATGGACTGGGTCATATCTGACCCAAACAAGATGTAGGGGGAGCAAGGCTTGTTCGCTGCGGGGCTAGGGAGAGAGAATGGAAAGGCAGGACAGTCTCTGTGTCTGTTTAACAGAAATATCGAAACGGCTGAAGCCTTGAAATATCGGTTCCCTTAAGCCCTACTTAAGGAGCTGAGATTAAGCAGCACCCATCCAAGGTCTAGGAATGGAATGGGCAGAAAGGACAGATCCTTGACGGGAGCTGGGCAGAGCTGGCCACAGGGACCCTGGGAAGGCCTCGACTTCAGACGCTCATTGTCTTTAATCCATCTTGAGTTAATTTTTGTATCTGGTGAAAAGAAGGGGTCCCATTTCAATCTTTGGCATATAGCTAGCCAGTTATCCCAGCACCATTTATTGAATACACAGTCCTTTCCCCATTGCATGTTTTTCTTGACTTTGTTGAAGATCAGATGGTTGTAGGTGTGTGGCTTTATTTCTGGGTTTTCTAACCGATTCCATTGGTCTATGTGTCTGTTTTTGTACTGGTACCATGCTGTTTTATTTATTGTATCTTTGTAGTATAGTGTGAAGCTTGGTTATGTAATGCCTCCAGCTTTGTTCTTTTTGCTAAGGTTTGCTGTGGCTATTCAAGCCCTTTTTTGATTTCATGTGAATTTCCAAATAGTGTTTTCTAATTCTGTGAAAAATGTCATTGGTAGTTTGATAGGAATAGCATTGAATCTGTAAATTGCTTTGAGCAGTGTGGCCATTTTAACAATATTGATTCTTCCTATTCATGATCATGGGATGTTTTTCCATTTGTTTGTGTTGTCTTTCATTTTTTTTCAGCAGTGTTTTGTAATCCTTTTAGAGATTTTTCACCTCCATGGATAGCTGTATTCCTAGGTATTTTAATTTTGTGTGTGGTGATTGCAAATGGGATTGCATTCTTTATTTGGCTTTTAGCTTGAACACTATTGGTATATAGAAATGCTACTGATTTTGCACATTAATTTTGTATCCTGAAACTGCTGAAGTTATTATCAGAGGTAGGAACTTTGGGGCAGAAACTATGGCATTTTCTAGGTGAAAAATCATATCATCTTCCAAGAGAGATAATCTGAGTTCCTCTCTTTCTATTTGAATGTCTTTTTTCATTCTCTTGCCTGACTGCTCTGGCTAGGACTTCAGGACTATGTTGAATACAAATGGTGAGAGTGGGCATCCTTGTCTTATTCCAGTTCTTCTAGCTTTTGCCCATTCAGTATGATATTGGCTCTGGGTTTGTCATAGATGGCTTTTATTGTTTTGAAGTATGTTCCTTCAAGGTTGAGGCTTTTATGGGGGAGGGGGGTAACATGAAAGGATGTTAAATTTTATTGACAGCCATTTTTGCATCTATTGAGATTATCATATAGTTTTTACTTTTAGTTCTATTTATTGGATGAATCACATTTATTGATTGGTGTATGTTGAACCAACTATGCATCCTAGGAATAAAGCCTACTTGATCATGGTAGATTAGCTTTTTGATGTGCTGCTGGATTTGGTTTGGTAGTATTTTGTTGAGGATTTTTGCATCTGTGTTCTTCAGGGATATTGGCCTGAAGTTTTCTTTTTTCTGTGTCTCTGCCAGGTTTTGGTATCAGAGTTATGTTGACCTCATAAAATAAATTAGGGAGGAGTCTCTCCTCCATAATTTTTTACAATAGTTTCAGTAGGATTCATACCAGTTCCTATTTGTCTGGTAAAATTTGGCTGAGTATCCATCTGGTCCAGGGCTGTTTATGGTTGATAGGCTCTTTATTACTGATTCAATTTAGAAACTTGTTTTTGGTCAGTTCAGGGTTTCAGTTTCTTCCTGGTTCAATCTTTGGAGGTTGTATTTTTCCAGGAATTTATCTATTTCTTCTAGGTTTTCCAGTTTCTATGCATAGAGGTGTTTGTAACAATCTGAGGGGTTTTTGTTTTTACTATTTCTGTGAGGTTGGTAGTAATGTCACTTGTGTCATTTCTGATTGTGTATATTTGGATTTTTCTCTCTTTTTTTCTTTGTTAGTCTAGCTAGCAGTCTATCAATCTTATTGATTCTTTCAAATAACAAACTTTTGGTTTTGTTGATCTTTCGTATATTTTTTCACATCTCAATTTCATTCAGTTCAGCTTTGATTGTGGTTCTTTTCTTCAGTTAGCTCTAGGGTTAGTTTTTTTCTTTCTTTTTTTTTCTAGTTCCTCTAGGTGTGATGTTATGTTGTTAATTTGTGATCTTTCTATCTTTTGATAAAGGTGTTTCATGCTATAAACTCCCCTCTTAACAGTGCTTTAGATATGTCCCAGAGATTCTGGTATGTTGTATCTTTATTATCATCAGCTTCAAATAATTTCTTGATTTCTGCCTTCATTTCATTGTTTACCCAAAAGTCCTTCAGGAGCAGGTTGGTTGTTTATTTTCCATGTAATTGTATGGTTCTGAGATAGAGCCTTTTTTTTTTTTTTTTTGAGACAGAGTCTCACTCTGTTGCCAGGCTAGAGTCCTGTAGCACAATCTCAAGAGCCACATCTTAATAGACCTTTACAGTAAGTGAGCAGGCTGTAGTTCAAGAAAAAGTATCCTGTTCTAGCCTAGACAAGAGTCAAACACTTGGGCTCAAGTCTGCTCTATGCATCTAAATCAGTGTGTTAGATTAAGTCTTTATGTCTAACTTTCCTTTCCTGTAATGAAGATAATAATACCTTCAGTATGTTTGTGAGAATAAAATGGCATGATCTATGTGAATATACTATGCATATAAACTATAATGTACTAAACACAACCACTATTACATAAAATAGTTTAGGAATTTTAAATATTGGTGCTATAAGACGATTTTAAAAGTTTATTTCTTTTTTTTTTTTTTTTGAGACGTAGTCTCACTCTGTCGCCCAGGCTGGAGTGCAGTGGCCAGATCTCGGCTCACTGCAAGCTCCGCCTCCCAGGTTTACGCCATTCTCCTGCCTCAGCCTCCCAAGTAGCTGGGACTACAGGCGCCTGCCACCTCGCCCGGCTAGTTTTTTGTATTTTTTAGTAGAGACGGGGTTTCACCGTGTTAGCCAGGATGGTCTCGATCTCCTGACCTCATGATCCACCCATCTCGGCCTCCCAAAGTGCTGGGATAAAAGTTTATTTCTAAGGTAACTTTCCTTTAGGTTCACAAATAAAGCCAGTTGAATTTACAAATAAGTTCAGTTATCTGTAAGGTAACTTTTACTTGGATTTACAGCATTTTGTCTTTAATCTCTGTCATAACAAAGTCTTTCTTGTCTGATAATAGGCTTACTGATTGACCGCTTCTGTCTGACCGGCGGAAAAAACCCAATTGGCTATTTGAAGGCATATCTTACCAACTTGTATATTGCTGCAGATTCTGAAAAAGTGCAAGAGGCAATACAAGAAGGTATTAGTCTGATTTTATTTCTCTAGTTAATAAAGAGGTTTACACTAATGGTTACTTACATTGAGTTTTGCATATGATTATGAGGCTTATGGTCTTGTTGGATATTCTTCTGAAGTTTTTCCACATGGGGCAACACTTAAGTCTGTCCTTTAGAGCTCTGACTTTCCTGGAAATGGACATCCTCAGTAATTGTCCTACAATCCATTTTACATGTTCCTATTCCTATAGAAACAGAGGCAGTGCATAGACAACTGTTCTGAGATCTGTGGTTGTGAAGAGGAGTTGAGCCATCAGGTAATAGCTAGAGAGAAAACATAAGGTCTGGGAGAATTTGTTTTTTTAATGGTAGAAACTATAACGCATGGACCTAAGAAGAGTATTAATCAGTCTCCATAATCTATCAGGTATTGCCTCTGCCACAATGTTTGATGGAGCCAAAGACATGGCTTACTGTGACACCCAGCTCCGTGTAGCCTTTGATGGGGATGCTGTCCTCTTCTCTGATGAGTCTGAACATTTTACCAAGGAGCATGGGCTGGACAAATTCTTCCAGTATGATACATTATGTGAAAGTAAGCCTCTTGCTCAGGTAGGTTCAATGAGTGCTAATTAATTTTTATGTACTTATTTATGTACTTATTTATTTTCTATTCCATATAAATATCAATATTGGTCCATTCTGATGAATGTTTAAGTTATTTTAGGCAGGCCACTCCTTCTTACTGTCTTATCTTTGGAGCTTTCTTTCTTTCTTCCATGAATTGCTCACTTTGATGCATTCACTGCTGATAACTTTATTTTTAATTTTAACCTTATTTTATCTATACTTTTGGAAATGCTTGTATGATCTTCCCATAATAAGAAGTATGCGAGTAACAGGAAATACTACTTATCAATAAGCCACTACTACATAATAAATTCTCAAAATAGTAGGGTCATTTCCAATAGATTAGAGTAAGCATTTGTTGAATCTCTGTCCTTGACTTCAAACTCAAGAAAGGCATTGCTTAATTGAGAAAATATGCACAACTAAGAACTTGAACTGAATCAAATAATGATCCTCAAACAAGTGCAAATTATGAATATGTAATCAAACTGAAACTAAATATTTAGATTTTTTTGGATTAGTGCTGTTGAGTACCTTTCAATCCATCCATGAACCGAAGTGTTAAAATCAAGGTCGAAAATGAACAGAACCTATAACTTTTGAACAAAAGGAAATCTGAGATCAAAATGTCATTTAATCTGAATCTAAATTTATAGGTCTTTTAATTTTATTCTATCAATTTTCCCAAGAAATTTAATTGTCCTTTTTCTCAGTTCTTCCTGAACTTAAGTTAAACTTAAATATTGTTATTTTTATATAAATTTATAAAAGTATGAATAGACTGAAAGTTGAAAAGTTTTTCTACTTTGTCACCTCTCATTAAAGCAAGCAATATTTAAACTATGAGTGTGTGTGTTCAACTTCATACTCTCTTTCTAAATAGCTCCTTTGGAAACCTTAACCTAGTGTTATAAAGTTCCGTATTAACAAAGCTTACTATTGAGAAGAAAATTCTTTGTTATATTTTATATCAGTCTACTCTGCTGAAATTCAGAGCCGTTCACCATTATTGAAATGTGGAAATCCTCCATAAAAAGAACACTTAAACAAAAACACTTCAAAGAAAGCATTGCTTCCAGACAAATGTTAAAGTAGTATTTTCTCATCTGAAGTAAATAATCTAAATTTCTTTTAAATTTTACATTTTTCAGTTCTTTTCTCATGTTATACTTTGTTATTTTCTTCAGTTTTATTGAGTTACACTTAATTTTTAAAAGTTGCACATATTTAATGTATACATTTTGATGAATTTGGACATATACATACACACATGATACTGTCACTACAAATAAGGTAATAAACATATCCGCCGCTCCCAAAAACTTACTTTTCTCCTTGTCTTTTAAACATTTTTTTGTTTTGTGGTAAGAACACTTAGCATAAGATCTATCCACTAAACAAGTTTTTAAGTGTACAATACCATATTGTTAACTATAGGCACTACATTGTACAGCAGATCTCTAGAATTTATTCATCTTAGCAGGTCTTTCAGGTCTCACCCATTTTGTTACAAATGGTAGTATTTCCTTCTTTTTAAAGGCTGATTAATATTATGTTGTGTCTTATCCCACATTTTCTCTATCCATTCCCCTGATGATGGACATTTGGGTTATTTCCAAATCTTGGCCATTGTGAATAATGTTGTAGTAAACATTGCAGTTTACATAGCTCTTTGAGATCCTGCTTTCATTTCTTTTGGATATATACTCAATAGTGGGATTACTGAATCATTTGGCAGTTGTTCTGGTTTTAGTTTTTTCTGAAAAATTTCCATTCTGTTTTCCACAGCGGCTACACAATTTTACATTTCTGCCCACAGTGTATAAGGGTTCCACATTCTCTACATACTCCCCCACCATTTGGTATCTTTGTTTTGTTTTGTCTTCTATAATAGCCATCTTGACTAGTAAAATTTGATATTTGATCGTGGTTTTTATTTGGATTTCTCTGATGATTAATGTGTTGAGTACCTTTTCATATACCCATTGACATTTGTATGTGTTCTTTAGAGAAATGTCTATTCAAGTCCTTTGCCCATTTTTAACCAGCTTAATTTGTTTTTATTTTGCTGTTGAGTTGTAAGAATTCTTTGTATATTTTGGAAATTAACCCTTATCAGATGTATAGTTTGCAAATATTTTCTCCCATTCCATAGGTTGCCTTTTCACTCTGTTTCCTTTGCTTTGCAGAAACTTCCTAGTTTTATGTATTCTCACTTATTTTTGCTCCTTAAATGGCCTTTTTCTCCCATTAAACAACTAAAATTGTGAATCCCAACTCTACTTATTGCAGGAATACCCAACAAATTTCATGCTTTCCTTTATTATGCAGTACTTCTGCCAGTTTAAAAACCATGCCATTTTTTACATAAAAAAGGTGATTTTCCATAAAGGCCAGAAGGCTTTGCTGAGTGTTCCATTGATGAGAAAGAATCTGTGAGGTACAACTCCTACTGAAGACATTCAAGTATGTTGCTAGTAGGGTGGTGGTTTGGTCATGACAATATCTTAATTTTGTCAAATGGAAGAGGTCTGAAAGTCACCAGCAAATGGGACAGCTGGAGAGGATTAATTGAACAAGTCTGAATGTAGTTTATGAGCCTCCAATCTCCAATGTAGTACAGTGACAAGTAACTGATATCTCCTGATTTGATCCCTATCTCTTGTCTCACCGTTCTGGGATAATGGTCTCTAAGTGTGTGTGTGTGTGTGTGTGTGTGTATCAGAATTTTTGAGGTATATTTATATAGAGTAAAATTTATAATTTTAAGTGGATAGTTTTAAGAGTTTTAACAAATATATATAATTGTGAAATAACCACTAACATAAAAATACATACTCAACCGTTTCATTAAATCACTAAATTCCCTCATGTCCCTTTGTAGTCATCCTAGTACCCTATCTCCAGACCCCATCAACCACTACTCATCTGATTTCTTTTTCTATAGTTTTGCCTTTTCCAGGTGTCACATAAATGGAATCATATGGGATGCAATCTGACTTGTTTTATTTATTATAGCATAATGCATGTCATTGCATGTATCAGTACTTGGCTCTTTTTTATTGCTGAGTAGTATTCTATTCTGTGGATGTACCATGTTTTCTTTATTCTTTTACCTGTTGAAGGAGTAGGTCATTTCTAGTCTTTGACATTTATAAATGAAGCTACTTTTAAACATTTGAATACAAATTTCTGTGTAAATATAAGATTTCATTTCATTTTTAAATACCTAGAAGTGGAATTGCTAGGTCATGTGATAAGTAGTATACTGTATCATTATTTGATGAGATACAGTCAAATTATTTTCCCAAATGACCATAACATTTTGCATTCCTAAAAGCAATGCATGATTTTGTTGCTTTGCATTGTTGCTGGCATTTGGTAGTATTGAGTATTTTTCTTTTCTTTCTTTATTTAAGCAATTTTCGTGTTTATAAAAAAAAAAAATCTCATTGTAGTTTTAGCTTGCATTTCTTTAATGACCAACGTTACTGAGCATCTTATCAGGTGCTTTTTTCCATCATGTATCTTCTTTGGTGAAGTACCTGTTCAAATCTTTTCCTCATTTTATTGGGTTTTTGCTTTGTTATCGACTTCTGAGAGTCCCTCACATGTTTTGGATACTCATCCTTTATCAGGCATGTGTTTTACAAATATTTTCTCTCAGCCTGTGCTTGTTTTTCATTCTTCTAACATCTTTCAGTGCTTTTCAGTGAGCAGAAACTTATAATTTTGATGAAGTCAGATTTATCAGTTTTTTCTCTTAGAAATTGCACTTTTAATATCATATATAAGAAATCTTTGCCTAATCCAAGGCCACAATGATTATCTCCTGACTTTTTATATAGAAATTTTATAGTTTTAGGCTTTTAATTTAGGATTACGGTCTCTTGTGAGTCAATATGGTATTTGTGCAAAGTACAAGTTGTGGTTCATTTTTCCTGCTTATTCTAATTTCCTGGATATCTTAATTGTTCAAGCATTATTTGTTGAAAATGGTGACTTTCTGTCTTGTTCCTTTAATATAGATATTCATCATTTTATCAATATTACATTGTCTTGATTATTGTAGTTTTATAGTAGTTTTTTGTTTGTTTGTTTGTTTTTTGACGGAGTCTTCGCTCTGTCGCCCAGTCTGGAGTACAATGGCATGATCTCAGCTCACTGCAACCTTTGCCTCCCGGGTTCAAGACATTCTCCTGCCTCAGCCTCCTGAGTAGCTGGGACTACTACAGGCGCCTACCACCACACCCAGTTAATTTTTCGTATTTTTAGTAGAGACTAAAATACCATATTGGCCAGGCTGGTCTCGAACTCCTGACCTTGTGATACACCCACCTCAGCTGCCCAAAGTGCTGGGATTACAGGCCTGAGCCACTGCGCCTGGCTACAATAGTTCTTAGGACCAGGTGGTGTGAGTACTTCAACTTTGTTAAAATTTAAAAAAACAAAACAAAACAAAAACAACAACAAAATATATATATATAGAGAGAGAGAGAGAGTACAGTCTGATTCCCTTGCACTTTCATATAGATTTAAGAAGTGTATCTATTTCTGGGGGAAAATTTTTGTGAGAATTTTTATTTTTATTTTTGTTTTATTTATAGCTAGAGCTTGGGATAATAGATATCTTAATAATATTGAGTCTTTCTTTCCATGGACATGGTATTTCTCCTCTCCTCATTTATTTAGAACATTTAATTTTTTTTTTTTTTAGTCTTTTGTAGGTTTCAGCACACAGATATTGCATTTTTTTATTTATACCTATGCATTTTGTAATATTTTGGTACTATCATAAATGGTACTTTTAAAATCCTTACTATCCAATTATTTATTGCTAATACATAGAATCACAATTGGTTTTTGTATTCTGCAACCTTGTTCAATTTCCTTGTTAGTTCTCACAACAATTTTGTAGATTGAGATTTTCTAAGTCAACAATAATGTTGACTGTGACTAAAGACAGTTTTATTTCTGTGTTT